CGAGGCAGGCGGGTGTGTGGGGCAGGGGTGGAGTCACGATGGAAGTGTGTGTTGGGACACAAGGCAGCTGCTGGGACATCCTAAACCTTCTGTTTTGAACATCTCTGTGGTTCCCTCCGGCTGTTGTGCGTCCTTCCCCACCGTCTCCTGCCCCATCCCCACCTCCTCCAGCAACCACAGCAGAGCTTGTGGCTTGAGCGTGGATCATGAGGCCCGCATTGGCCCCCAGGCTCAGTTTTCTGATTCCAGGGGCTCAGGGGGTTGCTGGAGGATGTGCATCCCTCACAGTTTCCCCAGGGAGCTGCTAATGCTGTCTGCTCAGGGCTGACCCAGGGCTGGCGAGTGGGCGGGAGGCTCAGGGGCTGGGGAGGGGGCGATGCTTACTTCTTTCAACCCCCTCATGCACCTGGTGTTGTTTCCTGTTCTGCTGAGGGCTGTGAGAACGCTGGCAGGCATTCCAACTCCACCTTTTGGAGAGCTTATGGGGTTGACAGGATACAGAATGGTTGGGGAGGAGGTAGAGACGAGGGATGCACTCTGGACCCTACCATGAGCAGGGCACCCCACCGCAGCGAGGACTGAAGCCCTTGAGAAGTGAAACCCCAGCAGGGAGCTGGCGTGACCTGACTTGTGCTCCTGGTAATTTGCCCAGATGCCCATGATGTGCATGTGCATCGGAGCCAGAGGCCTGTGTTCCACTTGGAGAGAGATGTGCCTGCCCCGTGGCAGTGGGAAAGGCGGGAGGCTGCCCTCTGCACAGCTGACCAGCCACCAGACACTCCATCGAGCATGCACACTCCCGATGGTGCCCACTGCATTTTTGTCTCCATCGTTCCACACAGAGACCGCTGAGACATATGTCGAGGAAGCTGTGGGGGTGGCCTGGGAAGGGAGAACACCCCCACATCTTTTCTCAGGGCCTGGCAGAGGGTTCTGCTTGGCTCAGCCCCAAGCTGGCTTCTGCACTCAGAAGTCTCTCTTGCTACAGGACACAGTTTCTCAGTGAGGGGTAATGTCTGGAGACATTTTCAGTTGTTACAGCTGGGTGTGGGGGTGCTCCTGGCAGCTGGTGGGTCGAGACCAGGGATGCTGCTCGAGATCTCACAGTGCACAGGACGTCCCAGCTCAAAGAATGGTCCAGCCCCAGATGTCAGTCCTGCTGATGCCAAGAAACTCTGCTTTAGCACAAGAGACTCCATCCATCCATCCATCCATCCATCCATCCATCCATCCATCCTTCATCCATCCATCCATACATCCATCCATCCATCCATCCATCCATCCCTTCATCCATCCATCCATCCATCCATCCCTTCATCCATCCATCCATCCATCCGTCCATCCATCCCTTAATCCATCCATCCGTCCATCCATCCAACCATCCATCCATCCATCCATCCATCCATCCATCCATCCATCCATCCATCCAAACATCCATCTATCCATCCAAACATCCATCCACCCATCCAGCCATCCACCCATCCATCCATCCACCCATCCATCATAACTATCTATCATCTATCTATCTATCTATCTATCTATCTATCTATCTATCTATCATCCATCCATCCATCCATCCATCCATCCATCCATCACAGTAGCTAGCACCCCAGGGGTGATTCTGCCCCTCAGGGGACCATTGGCAATGTCTGGAGTTGTTTCTGGTTGTCACACTGAGGGAAGGAACAGCATGCTCCTGGCTTGTGGTAGGTGGAGACCAGGGACAGTGCTCCACACCCTACAGTACACGGGATGCCCCACCTCAGACAGTGACCCGCCCCACATGTTACTAGTGCCAGGTCGAAATCCTGCTGCTGGGTAACTTCTTACCCACGGAAAGGGGACAATTTGGGAACCTCACTGCCCCATGTAGTAAAGGAGGCAGGAGCTGTCTGGGACATTCGGAAATAGATCTCTGATTGTTGGAGGTCTGTCCCAGGACCCATTCCTCAGAGGAGGGCCCTTGCACACAGCACTCCACAGTTTGCTCACTTGAGGCCAGAATGAGGCCAAACAGAATGAGCTGTGGCGTGGATGTGTGGGGACACTTGGCAAATATTGGAGCCAACGGCAAGACCAACACAGAGGCCAGGGAACCTCCGCCTTCCCCTGAAAGCGAGGGGGCTTTCGGGGGCTGAGCAGGACTCACGTGAGACCTGCCCCTTCCCCCCCCCCAGCTTCATGTGAACATTTCTCCCCTTCCAGGCTGGCGGGCTGGGGATAGAACACGGGCTACTGACACCAGAGGGGGCTCTCCCCAGATATTTCTCAGATCCAGATGCTCCCACCGCCAGGTCAGAGGCTGCGGGGATGCTGAGGAACCTTCTAGAGGCTTCATAAGCCCTGCAGATTCCTGTGCAGACCCCAAAAGGAGTCAAGCACATGCACACAGCCTGTGGTGGGGACAGAAAGCTCCATGTGCCTTTCCCGTTGGGACAGACCAGCGATACCTTGATGGCACAGCAGGTGTGGAATCTGGAGACCACTAGGGTAGAAATGGTCAGCGTAATGAGGCAGGGGGGCGCTACCCTCATGGTTTCCAGAGGGCGCTGCCCAGTGCCTGCACCCGCTTGCAATTCCTTAACAGGTCTGGGCCTGTCTGTGATGTGGGGTGGAAAAACCCTGCCAGTATCTGTCCCCCGAGGCTGATGGTTATTGATTGAGGTGCTGTCTCTATGGATGGGTGTTTCTAGAACCCGGGGCCCTTCCCTTCTCTGTCTCCATCCCTTCTTTTCCCAGGCCAGTGAGCCCGGGGGGCCTTTGGAGCATGCCAAGCCCCTGTTCCCCATGGGGTTGCAAGTGGGTGACTTGACCCACTGGAGAACCAGATGAAATCCAGCAAAGCCCTGCTCTGGGGAAGCCGAGATGCTGGAATAACAGTAATAATAATAGCCGGATAATAATTATATCGTTTGGCAATATCCGTCGGATCGTTAATGAAGGTTAGCATGGGCGATGTCCTGTTGGACCTTTTTCTCTCATTTCTGGAGCCTCCGTTGTGCCGGTTCCCAAAGTGTGGGATGTGGAATCCTAGCTGGGGGTTCCCTGACACCCCGATGTCAGTGGGGGGTTGGGAGGAGCAGTTTTCATAATAGCACAAAGACCTTGTTCATGTTTTTAAACGACGTTGGTCTGTGCACTGATGGTATAGACATGAATACTTGCATGCACTCATTCCCTTGTGCATACATTTGATTAATTCGTTCATTCCTCCACACATTCATTTATTCATGAATACTTGCATTCACTCATTCCCTTGTGCATACATTTGATTAACTCATGCACTCGTGCACACATTCATTCATTCATGAAAACACGCATTCACTCATTCCCTTGTTCATACATTTAATTCGTGCACTCATGCACACATTCATTCATTCATTCATGAATACACGCATTCACTCATTCCCTTGTTCATACATTTGATTCAGTCATTCGCTCCTGCGCACACCACTCTTTCTTGGATATGGACCTTCACGCACTTACCCAATTACGCATACATGAACTCACTCATTCATGCATTGAGCGCACTCATTCACTTATTCGTAGATCCCCTCCTTCATTCACGCACGCGTGCATTCAGTTATTCCTGTCCGTACTCACTCACGCACTAGTGCGCGCATATCCTCACTCATGCCTTCGCTCGTGGGTACAATCTTGCATTCATGCATGCCGCCCGTCACTCACACATCCAAGTCCGGAGAGCGTGGACGGCACCCACCCGCTCCCTGCTTCCTGCGGGCCTGCACAGCCGCACTCCTGCATGCGCACGCGCGCCCTCACTCACGCACACACTCCCGGGCGCATCCGCCCACGCGTGCATGGATTCAACTGCTGAGGCGCCAAGTCTGCATTTATCTTGTGATCCTCTCTGGCGTCCATGCGTGCGCCCGTGCTCGACTCCTTCCTTCGCCCACCCCCGAATTCAGTAAGATCGCGTGTGCCTCTGTCCCGCCGGGGAGGTTTCCAAGCGTGGCCTCTCCAGGGCAGCCGGCTGGCCTTGGGCCCAGGCCGCCAGGCCACTGCAAACATTTACTCTGGAGCGGGCTGGGTGAAGGTTAAATGTCCAAACTAGAAACCACGGGCTGCCGGATTCCGCGGGGAGGGGGCCGCGTGGGGCAGGGGCGGGGCGCGGGAACGGAGGGCGGCCGCGGCCCCTCTGCGGCTCTCTCCCCGGGCACTGAGACAGGCGGCAGGCGGCGCGCCGGCAAGGCGGGCTGGGGCCGCAGCTCCGTGGTGGGGGACCCGCGCCCGGAGGCCGAGCGGGGGTGGGGCCGGGCTTCCGGCGAGCGGCCAATCGCGGGGCGCGGGCCGCGAGGCCCTCCCAGCGCCAGCGGGGCCAGAAGCCGCCGGAGCGCGCAGGAGGTGTGGGGGGCAAGGGGTTGCGGGGGGCTGGGGAGGGATCTGCGGAGTGTGGCGCGGGGGCTGCCTGAGCGCCCCGGAGGTGCGGGGGGCGCCGGCTGTGCGGGAGCGCGAGGGAGGCGCGGGGCGGCGGGTGTAGGGAGGGCTGGGGCTGCGGGAGCGCGCAGGAGGCGCGGGGGCGTGAAGGCCGCTTGGGCGTGCCGGCAACCGGGGGGTGGGGGGCCGCAGGGCTGCCAGAGAGCCGAGGGACGAGGTGTGCAGCGTGGGGCGCGCAGTGGGGTCCTCGCGAGAAAGGAGGTGACGGGGGCGCGAGCCCGGGGTGGGGCCGGGGCCTCCAGGAGCGCGGAGGAGGGGCGGGGCGCAGCCGGGCCGCAGGTGACTGGGGAGCGGCCGAGGAGTCGTGGGGGCGCCGGGCGGGAGTACAGGACGCACTGGAGCCAGGAAGAAGTGCCTGGCGCGCTGGGGACGCTTCTGACACCCGGGTGGGCAAGGCGCTGAGGGTGTCCCAGAACGGGGAGTACAAGCGGGGCGCAGAGGGGTCGCAGGTGACTCCGGGGCGAGGACGGGGGGTCGAGGGGAGCCTGGCTGGAGGACAGAGGCTGCCCAGGAGCGCGGAGGATGAGGTGCAGGGCAAGGGAGTCTTGGAGGTGGCTTCGGTTCAGCGGGGCCCAGGTGACGCGGGGCCGGGTAGGGGGGCGCTGGGCTGGGGCTGCAGCTACTATGGGGTGTCTGGAATGCCGAGCTGTCGCCTGCAGGCCTGGAAATCTGCGAGGGTCCCCTGGAGACGAAGCCTCTGCTAGGCCCTGCTCCCGGCGGCGGAGTCCACCCACCACGCCCAAGAGAACCCAGGCACACGTCGGCACTACTGTGACCAAACCATGCCGGGTAAGACCGTGGACGCTGTCGGCCCAGCCTCCCTGTTCCTTCTGGGACCTGTGAGATCGATCTGCTCTGGGGAGAACCCCCCCTTTGCCGACATAATCACCCCCAAGCCCCTGGCCTCCCCAAAGCCTCCCCAGCGTATCCCTGCGTTTGCAGAGCCTGGCGCTGCCGGGTTGCAGGTGGAGATGGGGTGAGTCTCACCCGCTGGGAGGGGTCCATATATAGCCTGATCATGGGGCCTCGAGATTCCTGAATTTCCCTTCTGTAAAAGGCAGCCCTAGGAGTTTAGATGCGCTACTTTCTTGGGCAGTTCTCACCCACCGGTAGACAGATAGGAAGTTCGTGCCCCTAAAACTTTAGGAACACAGTGCCTTTGGGGGTTCCCAAGTTCAGACCACCGGGCGTACTCCTTTATTCCAATAAAGACTGCGGTAATCCCCCGGCAGGGCAGTGGGCTTGGGATGGCCACATGGCTGGGGTTTAGGGCAAGACCTGGCCCCCAGGGGTCAGATTCAGTCTTACACACCTGCCCTTCAGGGGGGTTTGTACACATCAGATGTGGGCAGTTCAGAGGGCTAAAAGAAATTAGATAATGGGACTGTGGCCTTAACCCATAAGAGAGATGCCTGTCCTGTTTTTATCATGAAGACACCCCATCTTGCACCAGACCAGACCTGATCATCCATGAGCGCATTTTTTTTTTAAACAACAGGTTACTTTGTATTTGGAGGAGCAATTTGGTAAAATCACAGAGGAGCTTCCATGCTGTTTTTCTCCTGCCTGGCCTCGGAAAGGAAAATGGTTCAGGCGGGGTTTCCTGTGGTTCCCGCTGCAGGACCCTGTCTCGAGGAGAAGCAGAATGGTTTCTCTGTTCCAGGGGGCGGTGTGCAGCTCTCCACAGTAAAAACCACTCTGCCCCCAAAGCCGCTAGGGCCCATATAATGCCAGCATTCAATGAGCAACCTTCGGATGCATCTCCATCAGCCCTGGAATGTGCTCGAAGACCCGAAGTGGGTATTCGGCATGTTTTCGGGGAACAAAAACCACCTTTGAGTAAAAGAGGAGGGGCCAAGGAGGAAGCTAGCCATGTTATTTCCCGGGGGGGGGGGCGGTGGCGGGCAGATAAGAAGATGAGTCCAGTGGAGGACACACAAGGAATAGAAACGGATAAAAATGAACCTTTCTCCCAGATTCATTACAAAACTCTCAGCCACCACGTTCTTCGGGCTGAACTTGATGTTGCGAGAATATTTATTTTTTCTTAAGCCCGTGGTTGAAATACAGCCACACGTGTTCTGTTTCCCCACTCTGTGGTAATGCCTAGAGTCCCCACCCTGGTGCCATGTTGGGTGGAAACTGACTCTAATTGCAGTGTCCTTGGATGGTCATGGACATTCCTTGATACAGCGAGACTTGGTCATTGGTAGCTTCTTAAAAGCAAGGCAGTGTGGCCTCTGAAGACCCGTTAATGAGTTTTCATTCTTGTTATACCTTAAAATCCGCTGGTCTGTCTTTGCACCTCTGACGGGGCTCTTGTCCGCGAGTGATCTTGCAACATGGTGCACGGGGCCCTGGTGGCCAGCCTTCAGACGTGCACGTCTTTCTCGCAGAGCGTGAGTTTGCTTGTTGGGGTCGCTGGAGAGAGGGGGTTGCTCTCCAGGGGTGCTGTGGTGTCATCCTGTTGATAGGACCACGAATCCCTCCATCCTAAGCAAGGGCGGAGTCTACCCGCTCTGTAGACCCAGCACTATCTCCATCCATCCTGCAAATCAGGAAGCTTCTGGACAAATAGCTTGTCATCAGTGTGTCGCTTGGGGTCCCCAAAGCCCTCCCAGGTAATGTGCTCCCCTCCACGGACCGTGGAGCAGCTCTGCTCCCAGGACCTCCCGGCTTCCCCCTGCCTCACCCGTGACTTGTTTCTCATGTGGAAGCAGCTGATGTGTTCAAACCAAGTAGGTCTGAAACATGAGATGGTGGAAATCTAATTGTTCTTCTGGTGTCTGGTTTGATTACTCTCCGGGGAAGGAGACCCATATTTATCAACCATGCTGAGTCAAAACAGACCCCGCCAATTGGATAACAGTTTCCTTAGTGATCATTGAGAGGATAAAAGGAGTAGGAATAATCTAGTTGGATATTTTTCATGTCTTTGTGTTAACTTCCATTTAGAAGGAATTTGATGTTCTTTTTAGGAATATCCAACTAAGCTGTGTTGCGAATTTTCTTTTTCTTTGAGGAGGATCCAATTTAAATTGT